TGCCGATTAGATTTCGGTCGGTAGCATGATTATGATATACGATTTAGGGCATTGGGGACATTTCATTTGGATAAACTTTTGGGTCTGACAGAAATAATAAAACGGCGGTACAGAAGTACAGACAATTTATGAATGCTATTTGTCGAGTTGTAACTTAAGGGCAAATTTTAAAACTGATATTTCCTATATTTTATCGGCTTCGAACACTTTATAGGTCTCTAGATATTTGTCGCTATCTACAATTCCGTTTCAAAAATAGTTTTAAAAATAATTTAGCGCTGTGTTTTATTTAAAAATGGGCTGTGCGGTGTTGTATCGTTAAAAAGTCATTAATCGATTCCATAGGCCATATCGCCTCGAGTGCTTGGACACGAAATCCCAGGACAGTTGGGTGGCAGCATAATTTGGTGGGTCGACATTTTATTTCAAAGAAATAGCACGGATTTTGAATAACTTATTATTGAAAGTGATGTTTTCTTTTACTTGAATATACCATTTTTTAAATTTTTACACTTGCAAAAAAAAAAATTGAACTGTAAATTTAATTAATACTGGACATTTATTTGTTGCGTTAAGTTTTCAAGGCCATGAGTGTATTAGCGCAATAGGATAACATGTATGTATAACCTATTTAAAGTTATTTATTTGAGTTTGTTGTGAGTAAAGCGGAAGGCAAAAATATTTATTTTGTGTCACATTTGCGTAGAGTAAACATATTTTAAATAGATAACATTGGAAATGATTACGTGAAAAAAAAACAAAATATAACTAAATACAATAATTGAACCGGTCATTTCAAAAACAACATGTCATTGCTTAAAAAATTACTTTTCGTCCAATTTGATACTTATATATATAGTTACGTGTTTTTTTGCAAAAATTAAATTTTTTTGTTACGACCCTCCAAATTGAATTTTAAAACTTATGTTACCATACACATTTTGTTTTTTTTAATATTATTTTTATATAATAGATACATTTTTATTCATTGTAAAAACAACATAATTGAAATATTTTTCGTATTAATTAATTTAAATAATTATAACTATGAATTATGAATTGTGCAGATCCTACAAACAAATACTTAAATTCGTAAAAATGCAAAATAAGTTATATTTCTGGAGTAGGAAATTAAGTATTTTGTGGTTCCTGTAGGTAAAGTTAAAATTTAATGACTTATTTGGTTTTTAAATGACCCATTCAATTATAATAAATAAGTAAGTTTTAAATTTTTGATACACTATTTTTTTACCTTAAGTGAAAAGTGCTAGAGAATATTAAGAACTCAAGACAAAATTATTCTTTAATACTTTAAGTTTTTAGGCTGTGCAAACCATTCCGAGTAATATGTGTAGCTGCCACCAACAAAATTAATGAGCAGATTACATTGATACAATTATAGTGCATAAGTAATAAGTCGAATTGAAAGACAATAGGATCCATGGACGTTAGCATTAACAAATATTGATTATTGCTGATAAAAATATGGATGTATAATTGTTTTATTTATGAAAACTATAATAAACATTAAACTGTGACTATAAGTGTGGAGGTGGTGTACGGCGTTTGTACTCTGGTTTAATGTAGTTGAACTCCCATTAAAAATTCTCATTATATATAATATGGTAACAATAAAATACTATCAAATTTAAAGAGCTTTGTTAAAAACTTGGCAGGTACCGAATTACGAAGACAATAACATGGTATCTATAAAACCCCAAAAGCAAATGATTGCTTAAGTTCGCGTTAACGCTGTCGAGTATGTTAACGAACTCTAGCCGGGTCCTGTACATATAGAGTGACTAAAATTTTACTAGACAGTAATTTTTTTCAAGAATTATCAATTAGTTCTTTTTCGGACTGAGAATTTGGTTAAAGTGTGTTATTCTCTCGAGCGCCTAACGATCCAACTATTAAACGTTTTCGTCTAATAGCATCGGCTATCGTTTCGAAGAATGGTAAACAGGCGACATAATATTATAATAATAAGAAAATATATTTTTATAATTATTCACGTTATCTCGATGTCGAAGTTTTGGTATTGTTCAAACAGAAATCACTTATCAATTTTCGTTATGGATTTTCAACAATGATAAAACTATTTATCACTGTGCATACGCATTATATTGTATTAGGCTATATTATGATTAGTTTTATTCGAAAATGTTCGAAACTCTGTAAATATTTTTCAAAGACGGTTGGGTTAATTGCAAGAATAAATGAAATAGTAACTAATACTTATGTTGAAGGGGAAAACCGCCTCGGCATTACAAAATTAATTGCCGGTTGACCACCTAATTAACATCTCACAACACGCCATGTTTTAGAATGCTCGACTACATTAGAAAAATAATTTTCCAACTGCGCTGGAATTTGTTTTTTATATAATTTATTAAGTACCGGCGTATTTAGGTTATATAAATGTTTCTGACCGATAAAACAAAATTGGTATCATGTCATAAAACTACCTAACACGTTGGCTGCCGTACATAATATTATGAATAATGACAAGAGAGAATGGAAAGCGAGGATTAATTTAAATCGACAATGCCGAAGTATTTTTTTTTTTTTTTTACAGATTCGTGAAACTTTCATAGTTTTTTTTCTTTATAGTAATCGATCTTGATTGTCGAATTATTTTGACAAGTACAGGTAAAACAAAAACAGAATTTTATCCGAATGCTTGTTAAATTTCGAATTGTTAATAATATTTATTATCAGTGGCAGAAGAGAGTTCTTGACAGCCTCGCGAACATCTAAAGAAAAAATGTCCTTATAAATATAATATTATAAAACGTTTTAGTTTGTTTTCTTGAATTTCTTACAACGTGTGACATAAAAACAAAAGATAAAAAGTACTGCTGATTACCTGGAACCAATTGGAAGAAAAGAGTGGAAATAAATTGTATTCAATTTAACGGATGAAATCTACCCTGAAGTCGTATCTAGATTTAAGCCAGATAAAAAACAAAGAGATGTTATGTAGTGGTCTGACGGATGATATCATCCTTCGCGTAAAATAGATGTATTTTCCCATTTAATTATAATAATATATAATAGTAGTTTGGATTTCGGCGGCGTGCTTGCGCTGTGTAATACAATATTGTTAAATGAACACAATTAATGTTACTATTGCCGTGGGAAGGTCAAACTTTGACATTCTAAAATTCTAACGCGTATACCTCACGTGTTGGGTGTTTTTATTATTTCTATACGCGTTGGCTATTGCATGTCATAATACATGTATCCATATATCATATAAATTATAACGTTCAGCCGTCGAAATAGCTTTATAAAAAGCGCTGCGTAGTGTGACTTTTTGATCGCTCTCCAAAGAATGCAAAGCACTTTGTGTCGTGTAAAAAATTATTCCAAAAAAGCGTATATTGGATCCAAGTCAAAATATTTATTTATAACTCTGCTGGTTTCCCGAACCGCCAAACGATAAAAATCAAACCCCGTCCCTTGGTTTAATAAAAAAATCAATAATTTCACATAAACGGTAATTGCGAGTTGTCTTAGAATGAAAAACGCATTTGCGACTTTGCCTTGTTGGTCGAATTCCGTATAATAGGTATACTAGAATGATGCGGTTTAGGTCAATGTCTAATTGAAAGGCGGCCGAAATAGAACAATGCGCATCAAAGTATAATATATTACATTCTATCTCGCGTGAAGAGCGGTTTGGCACATAGCCCTACTATTTTACGGCGTGGAGTCGTACAAAGAGCTTTGTGTCCTGTCAGTGTTTGTATATTGATACGTACAATTACTTAGCTAAAACCGTCACAATGGAGTTCACAAACACAACGCAAAAATACCTGAACATTTTTAATAGTGTGTCGATTGCGAGATGTTTAACCGTGTTGTCGAAAAGCAAAGCGAATACGCTAATTGTTACACACCTTTATAAACTTAAAAAAAAAACCTAGTAAAAGAAAAGATAAATAATAAATAAGAACACCGGAAACGTAGTATACGTCATTTGTCAACAATTGCGGTGTTTCATCGCAGTATGTCAAGTAGGTTCCACTCTCAAGTTTTGAGTCTCTGCTTCTCCTATATTACAATAGAAATCAATAAGCCAACATTATGCTATGATAGATGCATTTACTGGCAATATTACTTTATACGGTTAAATAATAATTCTTGCTAAGAATTCTGCGCATTTATCGTATATGGTAGTAAAAGAATAAATACATATAATTTGGCTCTGTCAGTATACTATTTTGATAAGTGAGTAGTAGTTTATTGTAGGATAATATCGGGCTGCAATTAAAACTGCACAAAAACTATCCTTAAGTTTTAGGTTTTTTTATTTCATTTATGGCACGCGCCAAGAGTTAATACTCTAATGAAAATGTTTAAGCCCAAGTTCAAACCAGACAAATGCTGAAGTTAGCGAATGGATCCCATTTTTTAGTTAAAATGAAATACAATAAGTAATAATATACTATTAATAAAAATATGTTAATCGCAGGATGATTGTACGCATCCGTTTTATGAAATATAGTCTGACGTTTTGTTTAACGTTAAGTTATTTGTATTATTGGGACTAATTGAAGAACAAACGACGGTTGCGTACGTTTAATAATAATAATTACTACTCCACATGTCCAACAATATTGGCTCATTACTCATTAATACTGTATTGTCTTGTCGGGTCGTTTACCGGATGGAAAAAAATACACGTTGAAGCAATTAATTATTCGTACACGATAAGCGGATCATACACCATAATAGTAGTTTATTTAATATCGTAAGCTTCATTAAATATGCTTTAAAATTTTAATTCTACAACTCAGTTGAGACTAACGGTAACGATAATAACATTTCCCCTTTTTTTTTTTGATTATGTTAAAAATGATAGGAAAGACTCGTTAATTGTTGTGTGTTTTGTCAGACCTCCGCCCCCCCCCCAAAAAAAAAAATAAAAATATTTGGCTATTTGCCATTTTTTTTTATACTGATTGCGGTGTTTTTTTTTTATTCTCTTTCAGAATTATCCGAAGACAAAACTCTGGCGATCGAACAAAACGCCGACGATGACACAGCGATCACCGCCGCAGAAGGTGTCGAAGACGACATGACCACGTACGACGTTAAATACTTGGGCAACACTCCCGTGGCCTGTGTGGCCGACGCGGTCGCCGAATCCGTTAAAACGATCCTGGTGATGGTAAGCGACGTTTTGTTAATAATTTTAAAAACAATTTTTTTATGCGCTGACTTGTGTCGCTTTTTACGATGACACCAGTGCGAGGTCGATTCGCAGTTGAACCAATACACCGTGAATGTGTGATACTGTACGTACGTCTGTTGTTAGGTTGGAAAAAATATTGTCGCTCGCAGCAGTTTTTCCATATGCATACTAAATAACTAGGCAACAGCTACCACGGCAATAGGGTCCAAAGTTTTTTCTCCCAAATGTAACCATTTGATACACGTGTTATTTTTTCAATTGGTTCGAAACACTGAAAACAATCGTTTTTTGAAACTACCGTGACAAAACCTGATAATATTGCTACTTATGTTAGCAGGTTAATAGTAGGGAAAAAAAAAACACCGTACTTGCTTTCTAAACATTAAAACGTTAAGACCCCAGATCTAGAATAAACTAGTACATACGCTACGCGGTCGTGTTTAGGTATAAATAAATATTTACCTATCTAGGTTGTTTCCCCCTATTTCGTCGCTGTCGAACGTCAATAATTATAGAATATTATGGAATATATATACCTAGTAAAAAAGAAAAAAATCAACAGGGAAGTATTCGATTACAATCTAAACTATTATCACAATAATTTGATGTAACAACCGACTCGGTCCTCGTTTCTCCATCATTAATAATAAAAAATAATTTACATCAAGTGAAGGACGTGAAAAAAATTGCAGATCTATTACTTTTTGCGTTATTATTTGAGATGATTTTTTTCCAAATCGTTTGATACGAATAATTAAAATGATGCACGAACAAAGCTTGTCGAAAATTCAATGTCGAATTCAAACACTTTAATCGATGACGAGCATAATAATTATTAATTGCCATAATCTACTGTAGTATGCATATACGGCATATTAACTTTTGTTGTCGTATACGTTGCGTTGTCTACGCCTGAGAAGTGCCCTTAAGAAATGAAAAATCACAGAAGTCATTAACACTATGACAAGTAGATTTAACCTCTAAACGCGACGTCATCAACTGCGTTCTTTTGATGATAATGTTATACGCACAATATTATACTAATATTGTAATTTGTGTACATATTATAATCGACTCGAACAGAAGTCAATAACCAAAGAAAGATAACCTGGTTAAAGAAATGCATTTAAATGCAAGGCTTAAGAATATTTAGATCATCTCAACTTATATTATTTAGACTAGGATTTTTGAGATATATTTTGCATTGGATTCATCGCATGATAGATATTTTCTTTTGAATATTTTATTATTTTAGTTATAAATGTTTTCAAATGGCAAAAACACAATGAATATTGAAATTGTATTTTGTTAATGCGTATGTCATTATGTAATTTGACTTGGTATGTAATATAAATCCAAACTAGTATAGTTAAACTCAATCAACAGGAAATTTTTTATTATCTTGATAATGTCCAATATTATATAAAAAACAAATATATAATTGTAGTTATTTTTTTATAACTCTAGTAATTAAAACAGACATAAATAGGCCACATTTGTTAAAAATGTCTTTCATACTCTACACATATGTTTGATAATAATGTATTATAGTTTAAATATAAACCGTTTTGAAGTCGGCATATTTATATTTAATGGGTCAAATACGCGGAAGATTTAATGTAGTAATTTGCATGAACTAAATTTAAACAACTTAATTAATTATGATACTCCCATTATTAAATCTAATTATTATCGCAGTGTTAATTTGATGACGTGGATATACTGTAGAAACATTTTTATGTGTATCTACACAATATTTTGTCGGGGATCGTTGTTGACGGTATCATAACCGTAATAAAATTAATTTTTATATATAAAAAAAAAAAAAATAGAATGTCAGGTATAATATTATTTTGAAAACAATTGAGGCGGTTTTTTTTCATTAGACCCACAATTAATAATGTAAATAATGCATTATGTGAAAATTTGCATGTTGCGTGAAGGAGTAATAATGCCAGACCAGTGGAATTATTGTTACACAACGCCTTCTAACCATTTCAAATCGTTGTTTTGGCGATTTTTCTACTTGAAACGCATGTGTGCGATCATAAGAACTACCGAGTACATGTATGCATTGTGTCGCCAGTGATGTAAGAGATTAGTGATATTTTTTTTTTAGTCACGGGTACCTAATTGCTTGAAATTACATACCTAAACGTGTGAACATAAAACGGGAATATCCGAATACGTTCTATAGAATGTTAGTAACATATTAATGTTATTACGCATTATAGCCACCTACACAAATATTTCAGTAATATATCGATTATTTTTTTCATTACCATTTATTGTAATGCGTCATGATAATTTATACACAAACAAAGAAACAAAACATGTATCGAGTCTTTTATTGAACTTGTAAAACATAACGGATGACAAGATGTTAGTACATCATAAGTCATAACACATAAGAGAGCTTGGAATAAGTCCCACGGCGTTACGTTAATTGTAGACTGGTAATATTTTGTGTTAAGCCATGCCAGATTTATATTTTCATACAAATTGTACAAAATGCACATTCTCACTTCATTAGTAACTCGGTCAACAACTATACTTCAACGAAACACAAATGTTCTGTTGGTCGTAACTCGTAAATTATTCATCCTGTAAGGTGGCTACTAGTAGTACTTAATTCTCCTAGAATCTCTAATTTGGCTGTGCTCGCTTAAGATTGTTTTGATGGCGTGTCATTATTTTTACATTAATTAAGTAGTTAAAATATAGCATTTATTCTTTTAATACTTGTTATTTCGGTACATCGGTTGAATGTCGTTATATTAAATTACACAAGATTAAAAACATACTATATTTAAAATAGAAATAATATGAAAATATAATGATCAAAATATTTAATGAGTTAAACATGTTTGACGATTTTTCTTCCTTAACTGACTTCTGTCAATCGTTTCAGGAAGATAACATGGTATTTGTTGTGCTTATCTCTTACAAAAAAAAAAAAAAAAAATGCTGTATTCGATCACTCGAATCTTATATTTTCTGTTATACATGTCATTATAACTACAAACAATTATGGTAGAAGGTAGCATACAAAATAAAAGGATTTAGAAATCGGGATTTAACTCTAAAATATTATGCGTACCTATTGTCGACATAAATTTCATTTCATTGCCATAGAGAAAAACGGGTACAGTGGTTCATTACACTTGGATCAACAATACTACAAATGATATCATTAAGTGTAAATAGTGTACGATATACACTCAAAGATGATTTATTAAATTATTGGGTTCGTACCTGAATCTGTGCGTTATTTTCCAAAATAAATTCATGCGATGCGTTATTGTAACTACATTTTTCTACCAAGTAGTATGGTATATATTTGCCTCGGTCACATACAAATATCCCTATTAAGTTAAAAAAAAAAGAAAGAAATTTTGCAAAGCTAAAATAGTTATAGGTAACGCTGTTATACATTTAGTAGCAATTATTGTCGATCCTTTATGTGTGTACCTGAACGTGTGACGTTTTAACACTAACGAAATGACATAAGTCAATATACTTTCAAAACGCTATACTATCTTAGCATAATAATAACTGTAGGTATTGTGTGTCAGTGGTTTGGAGATAAGAATTTTTTTCTAGAAACGCGGTTAATCTTTACTGTTTTGATTTTGCAAATTTTTTTCGACGTTTGACATTTTTGTCTTACTTTTGTTTTTGCTCTCAATATAGTCTTAACGACTTTCGAGTAACCGGTAAAGTATTTTATGTAATTATTAATGTTTTGTTTCAGGCAAAAGCTAGTAAAAGAAAACCACAAAACGTAACGGTGTCTTTAAACACGCAAGGCATTAAAGTAACCGACACTAGTGACGAAAAAAACATATTGCTTGATACGCCGATAGAAAGGTAATATATAGTTGATGTCAAAGTAATTTTAATAATTATCATTTAGATTATGACATTAAAAAACGCAGATTTTCAATAAAACAAAACAAACAACCCGAAGAAAAATAATATACTGATTTATAGTAGATCAGTTGACCCATGATTAAAATATACCAGGTTATTGCATATCCCCACTCTATCCCCACTCATTTTTTCACAAAGTGGCAGCGTAACGGGCGGCATTCCTATTAGCCGATATTTACCCGCGCAAATTTGAAAACAAAAATTGTATTTTTACAATTGTATCAATTAAAAAATACTTATTCCAATACAAGTTACTAATACCACCTATGAGAGCCCCTAGAAAAGAAAAAAATGAATCTTAGTTGTCATGAAAAACAAAATACAATTTTAAACACACAAAAACTGAAAAAGAAATAGAAGAAAAAAAGATAAAAATTAATCGAACAAGCCGGAAAATGATAATTACAATTAATAAACAACTAATAATAATTAAACTATAAACACTTTTATTTATTTGTTCATTCTTCTTATTTAGATGCATTTTTTATTTCACATTATAAATATATAGACAATTATAAAATGCGAATCGAAAAAAAAATCCAAATTAAAAACTAGAATTTCTTATATTTTATTCATGTGTAAGGCTTATAACACTGTAAGCTGATAAAAGAAAAATAGCTTATCAGTCTATAAATTTAAACCAATAAGAACGCCGCCCGTTATGGTGCCATTTTTTATTTTGCGTCTGAAAATGTTAGGAAGAGAGGGTAGATATGCAATAACCTGGTATATTTAAATCATGAGTTGACCCTTGTGGAAGTAATTGGAAAACTATACGCCATGGCATGGCGGCCATGCAATTGTAAAAATAGAAAATATGTACTTGTTATTTACAGGGCGGATTTAGGAATGAGGAAGGGAGGTGGTGCTAGAAAAAAAAATTCACTCATAATACATATAAGCAATAGTCATAAAGTTAAAGACTTACATAGTAAAAAAAAAAAAATAATAATAATATACAAATTACACTTTATGCGTACAATTCAAGTACATAGAGGAGGGGCTTCAGCCCCCATAGCCCCCTCCTTTGTACCTACCCTGGTTACTTATATTGTAATGTTATTGAATTCGACGGCTTTATAAAATTATTTATTAGAGTTAAACGGAGTATATAAGCTGTTCAAGTGTACACTTTAAAAATCGTGTCAGTGTGATAATTTACTTAATAAATACAAATGTTAATAGTTATTGACTATTGTCTTATAATAGATTACTTAAGCACATATAGACTTTTCATACATTCGTTAGTTCCGAGAAATAAACCCACGGGATTGTTATAATTATTAATATGATATCGTCAACCGACGTTTTCCACTTACTAATTGTTGGCTCAGTAATTAAACGTCTACTAACGAAGGTATATTATAGTTCCCATAAGTATACACGCGACCTACATTATACACCTTTAAGATCTTGGCTAATATACTATACGGTTAATGTGCTATAGTTTCGAATTAAGATTGCACTCTTGTGCAGTACCTTTGTTAATACGGTTGACTTAGTTTTCGTTTTGTGTTTTGTCTTAACAACAGGGTGTCTCATTGTTTTACCGATCCGACCCAAAGCAACGTACTCGCCTTCGTCGTCACGGCCAACGGTCAAACCATGTCGGAATGCCACGCTTTTCTTTGCGCCAAACGAAAAATGGTAAGAAGGCCGTGGATTTCAGTTAATTTGTCGATCCATACGCACCACCCGTCTACCGCGATTGCGCAACGCCAAGTCCTTGCGCATCGTTTATCGGTCCGTTTGTGTTCTTATAGTAATTAATATCGTTGTCCTTAATGTACCCGTGCAGGCGCAAAGCATGTCCGTGACCGTTAGTCAGACCATCAGCTCGGTGCCCGAAGTCTGGAAGGAATACGCCAACAAGTCGCAGAAGCCGGAAGTCGTCCAGGCCAAATTACCGGAAGCACCACCGGCCGAACGCCGCATCCAAGGTAAAAATAATATAAAACATAAAGTCCATCTATTATAGGTGAACAATAATATGTTAGGGAAGAAGAATCGAATACCAATATCAAATATATATGTATAATATATATATATATATCTTTAGTCCGGGTAGAAGGGGCTTAAGTCAATTTTACCAATTATTTGCCAATTGAACCAAAAAAAATCAGCAAAAATCAAGATTTTTAAATCTATGGGAAAAACATTTTTTGTGAAAAATTGACTTAAGCCCTTTTACCCGGGACCAAACACATGTATTTATGTATATATTACAGCTGTACTTTTAATCAAAAAAGGCCAACTTCATATTTAATAGCAACACATTATTTACTGTAGCCATGATAATAAAATTATGTCAGGGGTTTCCGTTTTCCGGCAAAAATGTCCTTTGACCGTCACCACCATGTCCATTTGATAATAACAGTTTGAACATGACAATTTTTTTAAAGTTTTGTATTATACATTTTTTTTTTTTGTAATATAATAAAAAATGATCAAAATCTGAACCTATTTTACAATACCTCTTTACCGAAAAGTAATTTTTCACTATTAAATTGGCTATAATTTGTTCAAAAAAATGTTGTGCGTTAAAAAATATAATCTAAAAATTGCATGAATTTTAATCTAATTATTATGTGATAATAAATTGACGTGATCAAACCGTAGAATTCGCTTCTGTAATGCTGTAAGGAACGGCGGGAAGTGCATAAAATAGAAGATAAGTGGCGTTTGTTTTTAGATAATATTTTCTTCTGTGGGCTAATCAAGATTATCGCGTCGAAGGTATTTTAATGGCGTAACGCAAATTTTGTTAATGTCACCGTTATTTAATTATCAGACGGAACCGGGCGTCGCGAAGGTTACACTACATTTTCTTCCTGTTTCTTACATTATAATATATATTATAATTACTATATGGGATCAAACAAGTAGGTGTAATATTGATAATAATAATAACATAATTGACAAGTGACACGTTGTTAATGGTCGGTGAAAGCGGCTTCTGGATTTTTTTTTATTCGTTTATAACAATATCTTCGTATTATTATAATTATTTTTGTAAGTGCTCAGTCGCCGTTCATTAGTCTTGGCGCAAACCGGATACTCAAAGAAAACAAAACAGGCAAATCGAGAGATAATTTTTTTTTATAATACTTGGGATTTTTCTTTGATGACTCTTATTGGGTTTCTACACAATTTAAAAAAATAACGGTTGTTGGTTTCCTCATTTATTCTTTAAGAAACTACATATCTGTTACGAATTATTAAAATAGTGATACTATATTTTGACATTGAAAATAAAAGTATTTGATGTATTCATAAGTTTAACTACCACTTTTTAAGGACTATAATTTTAAGAATTTAAATAGCTTCAAGGAATATACCATCAAAGTTTAAGTTCAATTTGATTTTGCTCAAAGTTTGCGACAAGATAGAATCAAAGCTTGTACTCGAATTATACATCATATACATGATATATTTTTTATTCATTATTAATTAATAGATTATTTTGTAGTGTTATATTATTGAGTTTTGACAGACATTTCCTCTAAAATTTATTAGCTAAATTTATTGTGAGTTCGTTGTCTCGGAATATAACACCATTATATTATTATTAGTAGTTTCATGTATTTCCCGCGCTATGTTAATCAGAACATTTATTACTCTTATACGGGTTTAAACTTGAAGGAAATTGCAAATGGTGTCGTGACTTGACTAAATTCTGAGACTCGGCGGGCTAATGACACAATTTCGTTCGAATACGTTTTGTTTAACTAAGAAAAAAAAGTAATTTCTGTAAAGTTTTGGCGGTCGCGTGCTGTGACCTTTTTGTTTTTAAATACTCCGAAACGTTGTTTATTTCAAAAACAAAACTAATTTGAATTACAGTATTCAGTTCCCTAATATGTTAGTAATCAGAAATACATTAAAAACAACTTTTTTTTTTCATCTAGAAACGAAGCCCTAAACTGTTCGTATTCTACAAACAAGACGTCAAATGTTTTTTATTTTATTATTTGTTTTGTTTAACAAATTAGAGTTGTGCCGGAGTATAGTTATTTATGTCCATCCGATGCATGGGTAATAATACTAAATACATGGGCAGGCGGTTGTTACCAATGCGATGGACATGATTTATTCGGAACGTTCATGTTTTTGTTCCGCTCCTTTATGCTCGTTATATATATTATTTTGTAGAATTATAACATTGTCAGCAATAACGATATTTGATGTGGTTTTTCTGTATGTTTATGTTTCATACCACATAAAAATTCGGGTGAACGGCCTATACCTTCTGGTTGTCACAAAGACACACATCAGACGTTTCATAAAAATATTTAAAATCGCACTAATCGTAGAGTCATTAAAAATTAATTATAATCATTCCCCCCTCCCCCAAAAGAAAAAAATAACCTCATTAAATAAATAAGAAATGAAACGGCGTTCAGCATAGGCAATTGTTCGCAAAAATAAATGTTGAAATAATATTATATTGAACATTTATTAACACCACGGTTCAGTGTTTTTTTTTTATTGGAGGTTCATTTTTTTAGCAGACTATCGCATAATAATGTTTTTCTACAAAAAAAGTGAGATTTTTGCTTTTTTTAGTAAAGCTTTACCAACAATTTAAATAGAATATAATTTCTTTATCTTTTTCTTAAGAATAGAACTTCAGTTAAATATATATATTTTTTTAATACATTTTAATCTCCTGCTAAAATATCTTTAAAATATCAACAAACTTTTGACAACATTTTTGAGAATATTAACAATTTTTTGCTGAATGGATAATACTGATGTTTTAAAATTTTTTATTTTTTCGTCACTTTAACTTGATGTAAATCAAAAACATCATTTCGCTTGCATGGAAATCAAGATTATACTGATAGCTTATTGACTGTATACATAATGTTAATCCTTTAAATTTGTATGAAAAATGTAGCTGCCAAATCATATGTTCATAATAAGCGGCATTCTTTGTAATAGCAAATGACGAAATCGTATTTTAACGAGTCTTCTTTGTTGTGTAAAATATTGAATTTTAAGTGGATAACAAGTGGCGTCCACAACAGCCAGCAGTTATTGAATAACTCCCAAGTCAAACAAATGACACGAATGATATTTTATGGTTTAACGAAAAATGTTTTAATTTAAAATAAACTTTATTCTTCAGCCTTGATTATTATTAGTGGTGCGTTTAAGAATAATATCTTACACAAATCGTTTTTTAATGTTTTAAAAACTTATAGTCGTGACCGTCTTCGAGTTAAGTTGTTATCTTAAAAGTTTGCGACCAATATTATATTATATCTCATGCTAATGCGATCATGCTGACTTTCTTGAATTACATTTTAAGGTTTTTTAGCGTTCAAAATGTAATGACGTTGAGTTCATTGGTATTTGTTTTTGCTACAACATAAGTAGTTAAAATGGAGGGTAATAAATAAAAAACTTGATATTGGGTCGATGCGTTCATGTACAGCCATAAAGGTCTAACGTCTGGGCCGTGCCATCAACGTTTGAAATATTAGCTAAAAAAGAAACAACAGCTTTGCGGTGCGTTATTAATGCTTGTCCACGACAAGTTTGTCCCAAACAGGACCAGACGGTATCTATTTAAAGGGTAGGTAGAGAGTATAGATAGACAAAATATGAATTTGTTCTCCCTTAAGAGAAAAACACACTGTAGTTCTCTGACGACGATTTGTGGACGCCTTTCGCTTTTGTGTAAATATACAAAAGTATGATTATACAAAATTTTGCACCCACCCCCTTCCTATGTAGCTGCTCTTAATAAAAAAAAAAAGCGAAAGCATAAAAATAATATTACAGTGCACAACAGCGTTCGTCGCTGTCGTCCATTGTGCGATTAGTGTGTAATAAAATGCAATTTCACTTTTCACACACGTACGTTGTTTAATAAAAAAAAAAAAATGTATGTATAAATAATGATAAAAGCATATACACACAAGAGCATAGCCATTACAAAGGGTTGATGTCGTTATTACCGCGTTACAACAATAATGTTTGCCGTGCATAATTTTTTTATTATCATTTCTTTACAGATGAATCGACAACAACGGCGCCTCAAGAGGTCAAAGAAGTGTCGCTAATAGATTTATCCGGAGAACCGTTGCCCAGACAGCAATACGACACGTCCAGTTGGGTAAGTCTTGCATAATTGGGTACCTAGTTAAACATGCAAAGTACACACGACATACCGTATAGCTAACATTTACATATTCGAGTAGACTGTACAAATACGACTTACATTCGATAAAAAAAAAAAATAATAATAACAATATTGGAAATATCATATTATTTTTCTTTAGAGATTCTAATTTATATATATATATATATATATGAAGTACAAATTAGCTGTAAGAATACTATCTTACTGTCCGAACTTTGAAGAAAAACTATCGGTTCTACAATATCTGTTATTACTATTAAATAGCTAAAGTAATAAGTAGCTAGTACAACCAATAAAGTTGTATTGAAATTATAATAGTTTAGGAATTGAGTGGTTTATTGAATTGAATTGTCTACTAAATATATCCATCTAGAAAATAATAACAAATAACAATTAGTATTGTCCAGTCACCATGTAAAGTTAACTTTTCCTAAAAAATTGTATTCTCTCGCATTCAAATTGTATGTTTTAAACATATTGTAGTTATAATAAGTATATATTACACATACCTATTGACGTTTTAACGTAAATAACCAACTATTTAAACAATATCACAAGAAATGTAGCTCAATATAAAAAAAAAATTAACCACTAACTAATAACATGATAAAATCAGTTAGATTTTTGTTAAACATTCATATGGACGTTTTCTACAGTTACAACGGCTATATGAAATATTGAATTATATTATTATACTATATTAAACTATACATATAACTGTTTTATTGAAAAGTAATTTGTGATTATAATTTAATTGGTTTTTGTTTACAGGTATGCTTTGAAGACGACAAAACATCTGCAACAATGGACATAGATATCTTACACCAAAGGTATTTTACCAATTTAGAGTACCTAGAACAGCGATGTGGGATCATAATATGAAGTCGAGGTGGTCACAGATTTAAAATTGGCCGTATCGCATTGTGTTCCCACTTCGCTGTCCCACCAAGATTTAAAAAAAAAAAATCAATTTTTTACCATTAATCATTTTGTTTTAATGACGGTATTTATTTTTTGTTACAGACCTGAAACGTTTGCAAATTTCTCCCATCATTTCAGTCAAGATCGTCAAATGTGTTGTTGAAAACAAATTTTATATACCAACCCGACACACTAGCAACGCGTGTGTGTGTGTTTTTATACATTAATTTACTACTAATAATAATAATAATAAAATAATGATAATAATATAATAGTAATAATAGTTGTATATTATGTATTATTTTATATTTTAGTAATACTCGTTTGTGGTACTAGCGGCCGCTGATCAGCCGTAGCTTCATTTAACTATCAAATTTTACCCAGAAATGTTTAACGGCGCGTTATTTAGCTTACGCGCAATATTTTTTTAAATATACACTTATAAATTATAATATACATACATACATACATATATATTATATGCGTTTTAGCCAAATAAACTTTGAAAATAATTGTGAGCATAAATAAACTGTTTTGTTTTCCCGGATGTCGCAACTGTGTGTGTACCAACGTAACGGTATAAGTCTCGTCAAAAGAAACCCACTATTGAGATTATTATCTGTTGAGAAGTATCTCATATATATATTGTTGTATTGCATTTCTTTAGTCACGAATGTTTTAAATTACATTCAAACGAATAAAAATGCATGGAATAGAGATATTTTATAATCGCGTTTGAAAGTATAATCGTATGTACAAAATGTAGTATGAAACAAATTCTATTTGTATGTGTTAATAAATTGGTCAATTTTTAAAACTGGAACACCATAATTATTGTTTTTGACTGTTGAAACTCTTTTTTTCTATACCCCAGTTATCTGTGCCTGTGATAAAGTTCTAAATACCAAAGTCTACCTTAGTTCAGAAAATGACAGCATGAATTCAAACAAGATAGTTAATTATGTATTCAACGTGCGTACATATTAGTTATCATAATTCATATTCAGACATGTAGCTATAAAAGACAGCTGTATAAAATGTATCATGTAAAGTATAACATAAAATATTAACCTTGTTCCATTATTATTTTTTTGTTCATTCTTTATAGCCATAAACGTCATACTCATTTATCTAATAAAAAAGAAAAAGAAAATTAATTATCTCTTGTGAATAGTTGTAAATTCTATTAGTATAAAATTGCTTTTTTTTGTAATTAAACTAAATGAGATTATCAGTTAAGTTTGTTTGAGTTATAAAGGAATAAAAAGATATAAAAAAAAGCAATGAAGTACGTTAATTTTTGTCCAGAACCACATTTTTGTTTAAATTTAAAAAAGTATATCACCTGCCGATTTATACATAACAATAATAAAATGTTTATACAAATTGCTACCTACAGGCTTAGCTATTTTTTAATATCCTATTCAGGTAGAAAATACATTTTTTTTACATTTTTTTTGTAACACAAATAAATTATTTCAAAAATACGTACTTAATAATTAAATTTGTTTCCTAATTTTCATGAAGTATTTTCAAACAGTTTTGTGGTAAATCTTGTATTTCCTGTCACAGTATGATTTAGTTTTTTTTTAATATTGAGATATTATATTACAATTATTATAAAATACTACAATTTTATTATTAGTATGACTAAATAACAGAATAGATTGAATGTATCCTGTGACAATGTTTTATTGCTAATTTATGATAAAAAAAAACCTGTTATTTTCACATTTCCTATATAATACACATATGTAATAGTATATCATATTAAGTATCACATTGAGGACCGATTAATATAATTGTACTCGTAGTTAAAGTTTTTTTTATTTTTACTTTATTTTGAATGTCTTTGAATTCGTACCAAGTAGTTACACTAGTTTTATTGGCTGCTATGTAATTTAAAATAATATTGCGTTATTATATTTTAAATAACGGTAAACAATTTTACTAAATTCTAACGTTATCATTGCATATAAACGATTTGAACAAATTAACAATAATAAGTTGTAACGAATTGCGAATACAATAGAGCCGGTCGTCACGTCAGACGAATCAGTTTCTACCACTGAACAAGCTATAATTATATTTTATAACGGTTACAAATAATTAGGCACTTTTGTTAAAAATTAAATAATTCAAGTTGGCATTTGTGTGTACATAACTCATAATAGTATCGATCGGAAAATCGTTTATTTCAGATCAACTTAAAAATCATTATCATTATAAGACCAGCTATCTAGGCATACTTATGTTTTGGTGTAGGCTGACCAAGTGGTTAAAAAATGATGAGGTTATTTTAGGCCAGCGTTAGATTCTAATAATCACAATATGTACACTTAAAAGGGCGTCGCACCGGTAATTTTTAGTGGTAAAAACATGTTTAAGCAGACTAAAAATAACTCGCTTAATTTTGGTTTTAGAGTAGAAGCACCCATTATAAAATTAAAAGAAAACAATATTCCGAAGGGCAAAACGGTGCGTTTTTTAAAAAAAAATTAATTTTTTGGAAAGCTACTGTCATTTAAAAATGTTAAAATAGTCGTTATTTCTAAACTATGTATTGAGCGTTATACATAAAAAAATGAAATAAAACGCACCGTTTTGCCCTCCGGAATATTGTTCTCTTTTAATTTTATAATGGGTGCTTTTACTCTAAATCCAAAATTAAGCGAGTTATTTTCAGTCTGCACAAGTTGAGATGAAAAAACATTTTTAAATCCCTTTCAAGAATGTTGTGATAGTCCATAAAATAAATTAACTACCAAAAAAGAGTCCTAGTTATTGAACTAATAATTACACATGACAGTTTAACCTTTAAATTAAGGTTTTGTAAAAAATTGCCTATACTTTACTCCTTAAAAATGGGCGGTGTGATGCTCTCTTAATATTTGTATAAATGATAAATTACTATGAAAAACTAAACGGTTGTTGATTTCTGAATAAAGAGAAGGTTCTAGTATAATATAACTTATATTATAAAATATAATATACAATGAAGAAACATATAGTTAAACTAATATCTATTAAAACAGTAATAAGACGGTAAACCTTTTTTTAATTAATAATATAGTACCTACTGATAATTAAACAAAATAATAGTGTTGAAATATTACAAAAAAAAAAAAAAATTATTGTTAACTAAAAAAAGGGTATCATATACAAAAGACGTGATGATAGCCCGTATACAACATTTTTTAATTTTTTATGAACTTCACTTGGTATCTCAATAAATGCAATTTTGGTTTTTATATCGGCTTATGATTGGTGGAATTACATTAAAATGAATTAGAGAATTAATTTTAATGAGTCTTAAATAAATTATGGAATTATTTTTAAAGAGTTTTAACGCTTGTTATTTTTTTTGCTAGAATATGCATTCAACACGAATGTGCCATCTTACATAACTTTTAAATGTTTTGAAAAAAAACGGTTCTACCTAATCGCTATAAAACTGTGAGACACATTTGGTGTTTGAGTTTATTCGAACTGTAAAATTAAAGTTTTGATTCATCAGACTACGGATGACCCGTAAGTAGGTATAGTACAAAATATATAAGTAGAGATAATAAAGTAAGACAATAATAGAATAGACGATATGTTTAAAAAAAATGAATACTCTGTAACAAGACATATAATTTTTACAATATTGATAGTTTCTATTAAAAGTAATTTAAAGACAATAAATTAAATAGTTAATTGGTTTCTAAAGCATACTCAATGCGTCCAGTTTAGTCAAGTTTGTCTTTAATTTTTGTATTATACATTAATATTATAAAAAAAGTAACGAAGTTTATGCTTTATCCGTGTGCATAAATTGTTAAATTATAATTAATATTTAATTAAACTCGATGATCTAAAATGTAAATGCATGTATTATATGTCACTTACAAAAATATGCTTATTGCATAACGGGTAATGATGAAATTGAACAAAAAAAAATAAATTACAATTAATATGTATATCATAATTATATTATTTTACAGAAAGAGAGAGAGAGAGAGAGCATTTAGATACATAATAAATGGTAATACTTACATTGAAATAAATATTACAAAATGAGAAGAACTATATATTATAACATGAAATGTACCATGTAAATTAAAAAATAACATACATTTTTTAAATAACACTATAATAATTTATGTTATTACATTATATTCAATGTTTTTTCATTAAAAACACCGGTACATTTGTGTTACGATAATGTTATAATAATAATACTATAATGCTACGAGTCTTTAATTTTCGTTTATTTATAGTTAAATTCAGAGATACTGTCATAATTAATAATAAAGGGCGGTTAACGTGATAAAAATTGCCCGTCGCTTAGGACCGGCTTGGAAATAAATATGTAGGTTAAGTGCGGCCAATGTCGATGGGACAAATTTCCTGGGAAGTATGACTATTTTATAAAACAATTTAAACCTAATTTAATCGACTTTGATTTGATAGTATATAATATCTTTTTGGCAGAAGACAATAAATTTTATATGGGACCTTGCGTGAGGTCCTGATAAGTTCGGGGCTATGCGCATCTATTTCACTATACCTTCAAGCCGGCCCTGCTATCTACAGTACAAACAAAAAAAAATTACAATGAAAGAGAAATACACAATATAATGAAGTATAATATCACAGAGTCGTATTGACCCACAATTAGGCCTACCCTAAAATTAATTGCCTATCCGTATTGATCCCCGAAATCCACATCTAACGGAACAACGGTAATTTAATTATCTATTATATTTTCCATTTAATAGTTTATATTTCACTACCATTAAATGGTTTACTGAAAATGGAATAAATTTATATAAGAAAATATCGCACGAACAAATTGGTGTGAATATTTATTAGTAATATACGTACATACAGTAGCTTTAATAAAATCTAACAGCTAAGTAGGTATTCGAGAAAACAGACCGTGCTAAAAAAAACATTGAATCAAGATAATATGTACGAGTAAATAAAATTTTACTTTTATGTTAATAGTTATGTTTTGTGAAATCAGATTTAACGAAAAATTTAGTTTTTGTTAATATTCTCTATTCTCTAAAAACCAGAACCAGATAACGTAAATGTCTTCTTATAATTATGAAATGCCTTATAGAAGTACCAGAACTATATTACCCTTAAGTATTAAACGAGGCAGTCAGTCCCCTAATCCATTGGACATAACCGTTATGTGAATTTGCACTTTTTTAATCAACAACAATAATAATGGATTTTTTTCAGTCGAACTTGTCTTTGGTGTGCTCAATATGAATGTGCACACAAGTTCGTTGAGTATACGAATCAAGTTGAGTGGGCGTTACGCTTTGGGCTAATGATATGCTGTTGATTAACATTTAATGTTGCTCGAAACGAGCAGCAAATGTATTTAAAAAAAATACACAGAGCAACATAAGAGTAAAACATAGAAAAAATGTATGACGCATTAAAATCTGTATGAATATGTATGTTTGGCCTGTAATATGTACGTCATGCGCACATAGATTGACATCGGGTTGGATTAAGCTGGAGTGGATGGAGATGTATGTATTATACATTTTTTTGGGCTAACCTAAGTATTATGTGTTTTTTTGTAAGTACATAATAGTAATTCATTACGCAAACAGCGTACATGTTTAACTCGCTGTTAGCACCGCATCAGGCAACGCTGGACCCTGATTTAGAATTCTATATATATATATATATATATAAAAAAAAATGTAATATAATGAACAACAATAATAATACTACTAATAGTAATAGTCCTCACTGATTTTATAACACGCTATAAAAAAATCAATGTTCAAAGTGATAATGTAGCAAAATAAAAAAAATCAAATCAAGAGACAAAAAAGAAATTCCTAAGAGAGAACGTCGAGAGGCAGTGCATCCAACGGCAAGTGGTTGACGTCTTCAATCATATTTTAGTGATGTCGACCAACAGATAAGTAAACATGGACAGGCGTTGAAACGATTTCACTTGATACGCCAAGTGGTTGAGTCCGTCCGTCTTAAACCGTTTTCGCCCGCTGAACAGTTTTTCGTATCTAAAAAACAAAAATACACCCGGTCAAAATATGTATGATTTAAGCATTTTTCCCCGTGCTTAACTTCAGAAAATAGTACGGCGTAGGGATACTCCGAGGACATGAAAAATACACGGAATAGTGATTAAGAAAGGTAATTTTGAAATGTTTATTACAAAAAGTCGCCAAGCCAGCTAAAAAATGTCTTTAAGCTAGAAAAGGGTTGTTTTTATAATTAAAAACTTGTAAAGCGTCGCATTTCGGTACACTATTTTTTCCAGTGTTTAACAAAATTAGTAAACTTAATGTATAATTAAACAGTTGTCACTACTGACAGAAAAAAAAACTATTAGGCCGTAGTCAGAGCTACAACCGCAGATATTTACACAAATACGTCTTGCTGTTCTTTCTCGAGGAGTTATCTTCAAACTAAAAAGAAAACTACGCAAGTAAATCGAGCCAGTAGTTTTAAGATATTAAGTAGGTATATTAACACATCCTTTGTGCCGCGTTAAATCAAATATAAAATCTTTCTGTAACACTCAAAATATTCATGGTACATGACTCCGAATTTACAGATGTACTCATATCAAAAAGTGAAAATTATATTTTCTAATTATAATATTTATTTTTAATTATTTTGCGGGAAAAAAAGTTCATTTAAAATAGATGAGCACGGATATTAAGATTTTTATTCTATAGTTTTTATTTGTTTAGTATTTTTCTTGAACATTATTAATTGGGTATTTTTTTTCTGGTAAAGAGGTAATCTTTAAAACTATAGGCATAGTCTTAAAGAACTCTTCTCCCTTCTATTATAAGTATTGTTTTGTAACAATGTATAAAACATATTTCTATTATCTATAGGTTTGAGTGTTTCGTTTTGACCATATGTTAATAATATAGATAGGTACAAAAAATAAAAATACTATATAAATAATAGAAGGATGAAGGCAATTAATTGTGTACATCGACGATAATTAAATTCTGATTTATTACATGATGAAATTCAATAGTTATTAGTTCATTTTTATTAAAAATAACTTAAATATCTTTTTACTAAAAATCAACGTAAGATTAAAAGAAATCGTAGTGCATTTTAAAAACCATTTCTAAATGGATATTTGTGTTTATACACTTTAGGTAGATTTACGGTTTTGTAAAAACATTGTAATCGCATGAAAAATCACATAATTTGAAACAATTATTTAATTACTGTTACTATAAACCTATTCAATAATGATTTAAAAAAAAAAATTTCAGCTTTTGTCACATACCTTCGTACCTTTATAATATGTACCTTTCTAGTATCATACGTGTAATTAAAATTGGTACCGGTCGAAAGCAGTGGAAAAAAATGTCTGTATAATGGTTAAGACATAAAGGACGAGGGTATATATAGTATAGACCGTTCGAGTCGAGTCCCCAACGCGTTAATTAAAATATAAAAAAAATATGTTAAGGGCGGCAAATGTACCGAGTTTTACACGATATTTTTTTATTTCCACGTTGTCGATGGTCTTTGTAAAAGCCTTCGTTTTTTGTATAGTTTTTTAATAAAAATATGGAATTTCAATAACATTTAATATTACCGTCGGATACGTACACGAGAAGGTCTGATGATATAACACGGTACCTACATTTTTATACAAGTAGGTGCTTACTTATTTTTCCTGTTAATGTTTCAACAACAAAGGTAGTAGTACAAAGCTTATAGTATAATATCATATAATGATATTATACTATATATTATATATTATATTATGCATATACTGCATCGTGGTATTAAGTAGGTTTTACAAAAACAATTGCCTATATTGAACCCCTTAAAAAAACGTTGTCTTATGATACGGTCGGGTTAGGTCGTATAACCCTTATCTAGCAGCCACCCGGATAATTTTGTCCACAAATGATAAATATATTATAGGCTTTTGTTTGTATTGGCAAACTGACAAAAATATACAACCCTCTATATTATGTCTATGAGCCTCTCGTGCGGTATCGCCCAATTTTCGATGTGGACTCAGCAAGTTGCGGTGTTTGTCACGGCCTTTGGCTGTATCCTTAGAGAGCAATTGATTTTCGCCGATTACAATAATACTACAACGTGAATAGGTAAGCACAACATAATAAAATACAGTACACGGCCTGGTTACAAGCAAAATCGTTCATCCATAACTTATAACATGATAATATAATTTCCTTTACGCGATACGATATTGTTATTACTATTGTCAAAGATTTAGTGTTACATCCGCTATGGGAGGACTAAATCGGTACTCCCAGTGTTCTGTGTGTTTTTGGTCGTTAAAATGGATTATTAAAAAATTGATACAATAAACAGTTTTTACAAACTGTTATAGATACATCATTCAGTTTTTTTAACGGAAAATAAATTCACATTTTAATAATAAACCTATTGTCATACGACAAGTATAAAGCATATAAATACGTATTACAAATTATATTACAAATTGGTTAACCATTTTTCAGTTTTAGCGTGCCTTATTTTAAAGTTGAAAAGGTTGTTCTTTGTTAGGGTGTTTTTCTCGATTTTAAAGGGGAAGGGGTGAACTTTTAGTATTTTACATTATTTACAACTAATTTATAAATTAAAAAAAAAAAGAAATTCAGAACAGAAAAGAAACTGCACCAAAACTACGATGAGTAAATAGCGAACACTAAAATACGGCCAACGACCTACTGCCCCCTCCCTCTGAATCCACCCTAGCTAAGGAATGTACTCACAGTGTAATATATAATACAGTAAACCAGTATATATATATATATATAAATACACACATGCATACAGAGGGGCGGAAAGGTGAAAAGGTGCGTATAATGACTGTCCGTCAGACTTTTTACGACCTACTCGATATATTCGCACACGGAATGTAACAAATATTTTATGACCAACCGATGTAACAACAGTAATAATAATAATAATAATAATAATAATAATTCCGGGCTGTCGAACTACCGGGTTGAAGTGCATTGAAATAAACCATATCGAAGCTAATCGTAAAACAAAACCGTTTATTAACGGCCGGTTGAACGTTTTGATTGGCTTGGATTAAACACGTGTAAGGCACGTCAAAAGGCGAGCGTGAGCGGCTTTTAAAATACAGTTTTCGACAAAACGTTGAACACAGACAGAGAAAAAAAATTGAGGAAAAAACATCAGGCTATTCAGACAAATGCCCAGAGGGCAAGCCAGTGAGTTTCGGGACCGGGTCGAATCCAGTTATTGCGTTAAGACTTGAAAAGCTCTAAGTAGATTAGGGAACTGCTGGTCGACACGTCTGTACCTATTCACCGTGGAAAAAAAACGTTATACTCATTAATACGCCATGGTTTCTTTTAGCACACTTAGCGTGGAGTCTGGGAAAATAGCTCATGTTTAAGCTATAGGATATACAAACCCAAGTCCGTTACTATTGGCTGCGTAGGCGCATACAATAGTAACGCGTTTTGGTATCTGCGCTGGTCCTTCTCTCGTGGGCCGGAGTATATTAGTTATGTTACCTAGACTATTTAGTTGTATACTTAATATTAGATATCTGTATATTAGAAAAACTATAACAAAGGTCTGATATAGTGATTTTGGTTGTATTTGCACAATTGCTTTAATCCTTTTCGTAGTTTCTCCGTAATACATATTCTATTCGAAGCTGAAAAGGTATTTATCTAATTTTTGTAAATAAAACAAACAAGAGCTATAGATTATAGGCGTAAATGTAATAGAAATTACATTTTAACTATAAAAAAAAATACACGCTGATTATCATTGAAAAAACTGGTGTTAATATTATTCTTTAACAGAATACAGTGTGCAATGTGCATACCTACATCGTTGATTGACATTTTTATCAAGTTTGAAAGAGCAAATAGAAAGTGCATACAATTGAATATATTTTAATCATCAAGTCCACTTTTTCGCTATTTTACTGCAAACGACGCTATTTTGTTTATTAGTAATTATTTGAAAATTAATTATATAATAGGGAACCAAAAATTAAAATCTTAAGATTTAAGATTGTTATTTACGATAGAAAATCAAAATTAACAACCCAAATTAGGCTTACAAACTCGTTACAGGATGGATAGCGGTATAACTTTTTGTTAATGTATTCACATATTTTGTCTTGTTGGATAAAATAAAACAAATTATCTGGTGTGTAAATCCGACCAGAACTCACTTAAAAGTTTTAATAACCATAATAATAATAACATCAACAAATATCTAACCGTGGATATTTTAATTCAAAAAGTAATTCCAGGAACTTTTTGAAGTTTAAAAAATATAACAATAATAAAAGTATGATTGAATATTGTTGTGCAGAAAAACCTATACTTTGAGAAATTGATATTTTATTAATCTTTTATTTCATTATTTTACTTCTCTAAAAGAAATATGATTGAAATGTTTGTTGAAAGATTGAAGTATAAAACATATATTTTTCTTTGCGCCTGACGCTTTTATCACAATAATGTATTGCAGTATAGAGTCATATTATGTATAATGAAAAATATTCATACACATTAATAATAGAGATACGAACGGTTATTAATTGTTTTGACTTTTTCGAGACGTTTAAATAGAAAATAGTTTACACAACTAAACAATTATGAGAATCTATTTTAAACCCCATTCAAGAGGTATACCGAACGTATAGGTAATTTAATGGAGTATTCTGATTTCCTACAAACATTTTTAATTACACCTACATTTATTGGAGCACCAACGAGGAGTGACTATTTTTTTCGTCAAGTTAATCCGGTATTAAGATGCATATAAGCCTGTTTGTAATGCGCATTAAAATTTGAGTTCACAAGTAATTTTTAATCCCGGAGTAAGATTTTATTCAACCCGATGAATCGAATTAATTTACTCGCATTAAGATAACGCACATTAAAATCCATTATTCATGTATATTAATCCCGAATGGACTTAAATAGTTTTAAATTAATGTATATTAACGACTGCATATAATAATATCTTACTACTTTGATGACGCATAAAAACCATATGACGTGCTTCGTACGTTGTTTTCGATACAAGTATTCAATAATTCGTTTTTAAAGCAATTACAAAAAAATAAAATAGATTTAACTAAATTAATTATACTAATAGCTATCAAATAGTTTTAAAATTGCATCTATAAAAAGGTTACAATTTTCTAAATGTTTCTAAAGTTTTACAACTTTTGTACTTCCACAAACAAAATAGATGTAAGTAATTACTAATTAATATTGCACGTATTGCAGTTAAGAGTGTGTGAGGAGTTCAGCAAAAAAGTAATTTAACTGATAATATTATAGTTGTAAAATAACATATCTAATATCTATATTGGGCGATTGGTTTATTATGAGCCTCTCAGTATCTTATAAAATATTAGACTTTTTAAAATTGTTATTTTTTATATTTTAATTGGGCTTGTAACTATAAAAGTACAAAAAAGGATAATTTAAAAAAGTCTAATATATTTTGAGATATTGACTGTGTCATAGCAGCAGTACACATTTATAAAGTTACATTTATATACCTAGTTGTAATATTTTTTTTATAATATTGTTTTTGTAAGCATTGTTTGTTATTTGTTATGGGGGTATAAATTAAACCTAATAATTGGTTAAATGTCAAAAACATACTTTTACATTATAAAGAGTAAAAGCATTGTCAATGTAAACCAAAGTATAATGAAATCGGGAATGATCTAAAACTAAAATAAATTGTTTTAATAAACAAAATTAGTACTTGCCTTTTCGGGTTGGCTCTTTGTTTAGCGTGAGAAAGCATATGGTAACGGGCTATGTCTGGTGGATATCTAGTTATGTTGAGTTCATGGGATTTAACTCGAGACGCCATGTCATCGTCTTCACCGCCCCATCCCCAAAACATATTACTGAAACCATTCACCAACTGGAAATGGTATCGACTCATTCCAACTACACCGCCAAATATGTCCTTGTACGGCAATCTGATAACGCAAAACCAAACAAATATGGATTATTATTTTTATTAATAAGACAACAAAAGTAATATAAAGGGCACAGGGAAGAAGGGTAGTAGTCCATGTATGAAAATTTTAAAGTATAGCAAAAATAAAGTCAATGAATTCTTCTCCCTCTTACATAAGAACAAAAAAAAAAATCACATTAAGTGCTATTCTACTAAAAAATGTTTTCATTTAAACAATCTATTGACATAAATAAAAAAAATTAATGGCATATACTGAAAAACAATTTTCATAAATGGACTACTACCCTTCTTCCCCTGTGCTCTTTATATGATATTATCAACTTTACGTACGACTGCACGTAAACTAGAGCTTAAAATGATTACAAATTTAACACCTAAAAAAACGATATTTAATACGACGAGACTTTAGTTTTATGTGTCATTTTACTACTCAAAAGTTAAAAGTTTGAGTAGGGTAAACATTAAGTTACATGTAAATATTAATTAAATAATTAATAACCTACCCAATTGGGTTACAGCTACTGAGTAACTGAATGTTATGTATCATCTGTTTGTAAAATGCAAGTTCTTATTTTGATAATAGGTATTCAAAGAATAGATGTTAATAGAAATAAAACAAAATTTGTAAATTTTTTGGGTGTTTTTCTCAATTTTGTTAGGGAAGAGGTGACTTTTTAAAATTCGTGGTCTGATAAAGTACCTTCCAGGTATGATTTGTGATATATAAAGTTGCTACACGAAGAAATCGGTTCAACGGCTTACGAGATATCGTGGGTCCAGGCACAAAAATAAAAAAATGTTTAAAAACATCGTAAAACCAATACCTTCTCAGCTCCGCACCGAAGCAAAAACAAAGGTATTAGTCGAATAACTTTAGGTACTTGTCAAATATTTTCAGTATTTAAGTATAGTTTTGTACATTTTAAATTAATTGTTCGTCTTTTTTGGAACGGACAAGCGATTAACCTTGTATCCGTCTTTGAACGATTGAGATGACATTTTTCAGTATAAATTAAATTAAATCTTTGAAACATATTTTTTTAATTTTAGATTTTTAATGTTATTAGTATTTAGTACAAAAGATTCCTACTGAGTAAGCTGTACAAAAAAAAAAGATTAATTTAATTTTCAAAGGTAATTACGCTAATGATCAATCACGGTTACTAAAGTCTAAATGTTGACTCATAAAACATTTAATGAAAGTTCTTGTAAATTGTAACTTAAATTAGTATTTACGAAAAAAAAAAATTGTAGAGCAACACATTTTAGTAAAAACTAAACCTTAGTTTTATCAATTTTAATTTCTAACAAAAAAAGGCATTTCTCAAAATAACTATAAAAAAACACAAAATCTCATGAGATATATTGTCTAGTGTACTTAATTTTCCTATTGATACTATACAACTTTTATAATCATATTTTTGGTTAAGTCAAACAAATTAACATCAAATTAGGACACACTTGGTTTATTATTTTTTCATAGATTAAACAATGGTTTTCAATAAACTAAAATACATTTTTCATTTGTAAGAGTTTATAAATAAAATTCAACCTTCTAAATGTATTGACATACGCTGCAACAAAAAATAAAATAACGAGTATTTGTGATCTGGTGTAGTGAAAAAACGATTTATTTTTATTGCCTTTATAACTAAAGCGTCAAATTTTTTTTTTCGTGTATGGTTCAGGAAAGCTCTTTGAAGGGTATTGCAAATATGTTGGTAACGAGCAGAAAATAATGCAGACCGTTTGTATTCAATATTTGTTGGCAATATTACTTCTGTAGTTCACCGCATGTAAAAACACGTACCTAACTCAAAAAAAAAAAAAAAGGTTACTAACATTATTTTCACGAACCGAAGGAACTTATTGTTAAAAATATAATAGATGACTTTTTGGTTTGAAAATAATTTTAAAAAATACTGCTAAACCACCATTACCAAAAGAATATTGATTGTCATGGTAAAATAACAAAAAAAAATCTCATCAGAATCGCATTCCTTGAGACTGTGCAAATTTAGTTTCAATAGATAGCGAAAAAACACATTAAAATGAAAACCAAATCGCGACCGAATTTTAATCATTTCATCTATTAGACAATCGCACAAACATACTTGTAAAATTGAATCTACACAGTCTTCACCGACAATAGTATAGAAATGTATTGGTATGCAAACATTACTGTTGCTATAATATCACAAATTGTATTGTGATCGTCCATAACCATAATAAAACAAAAAATGCATTTCTTGTATTGTTATTGATATTTTTAATATAATTTTCCCCGAACAGTTAAGGTCGTGGACTTAAGCCATTTTTTTATTGCATAAAAAGATAATACTTTATCGTGGTTTCTTATTGCTGAAGTTAGTGCAGTACCATATGAATTCAATAGAAAAACAATATGTTCAAAAGCGCCGTAATATATTTTTATTTGAGTAATCGTACTGCATTTATGGGTTTATCGCTTAGCCGGTATTGTTATTTTTTTTATTTTATAACTTTTCAGTTGGTCGGTTTTCGTTTGCGGAACAAGAAATTATTTTTCTTTTTACGACACATAAAACCGACGAAATCGTTTAATCTCGTGACATTTTCGCAGGGTACATAATATTTCATAAAATAAAAATAGTATAGAAACAGCGTGTTACTATAAAACATCATGTCGGTGAACCAATACGGTAGTTGTGTCGTACAAAGTCGATGAATTGTTGCACGCGTGCAATACGGATATGACGCGTTTTGAAATGATTTGCAAAAATCGCGTTTCCGGTTTCCCCTCCCGTTTTATTCATTTCGAGATAATGTAAACCCTTGTGTCGGTGTAATCCTTCGGCACCGCCAACCCCTTTTGTTCACTTATAATAATATATACAAACACCCGCGTGTCACGTTCCTTTTTTGTATTTATGAAAAATATAATAATAAATAATTATAATAAAAACCTACGGCCTTAAACCACGGTTATGTTTGTTTCAGTTTTAAACGCAGTTCAGAGGGGTAGTAAAAAAAAAAAAAAAATGTTTCTCTTTTTATCCGCACACTATTTATCATGATACCATAAATGAATTACACTTCCTAGGTCTCTCACTCTCTTTCGTACACTTAACCAATCTCTAAAAAAATGTATATAATATATTCAGGGAAAATTAAGTATATTTATGAAGGTAAATAGATAATTGAAAATAATTTTGGACAGCGGCTGATTTATAGGGATTGTGGTACACGCGATTGATATTTGATAGTAAGTAATACTTAGTTTTATAATTTTATTTTTACATTGTTCATTACGTTACTGGCCCTTGTATGTTCGTAAGCCATACAATAAAATTAATATTTTAATCTGAAAGTGTAATAAAATTATATTTTTATTGGTCACGATTGATAACAAAATCATCTTAAGGACTAGAAAAATCGTTGAATGATAATAATCCCTTCTTAAACTTTAAATACTTAAAAAAAAATGTCTACTTCAAATCAACTTTAATTTATGAGCATAAATGACAATCGACTTACAGTGAAATTGTTTAATAATTATTTTCCGAGTAAATGAGTTTTGTACAGTTATTTAAAATTTGTATTAATATTTCAATAAAAAAAGAATCAAAATTATAATTCAGGTTATTGCAATATTAAAAACCATTCAAATGAAAAAAAATATATAAATATACAGTACCAAATTGTTTACTGTACCATTTGAATAACTAAAAAAAATATTTACTCAAATAAGTTTTGATTTAACTGAAAATGTGTCTACATTTGGCTGCAGGGAAAGTTTGAAACAATAATTTGTATGGATCCGAATAAAGTTCTAGAAATTATTCCTAAGTTAAAATATTTTGTTTTTTTATTTGTTCCGGAACAAAATATATCAGATAGAATTTTTTTAAGATCAATGTCCGGATTCTTCGTAAACTTTATCTTATATCACAAATTAGTTTAAAATGTATTCTTTTGATATTTCATCGTCTTTTACAAATTGTTTTCTCTGTATATTTTTATAGAACACAAAACTTTAGAATAGTATTATTATTATTATTATAATACATAGTTGCGCAAGCATACAGTATGGCATTATTTTTTATTTTTTTAATAGCCTTTATTCGATAATATGATGGCTCAAAGTAATGGTATATAAAGTATAACATTATATTCTTAGATAATGTTTGTATTACATATTCTGATATTAAAAAATAATAAACATCTTTACCGTCAATAAATATTGCTTTTAAGATCGTACTAAAAATTAATCTTAAGCCTCTTTCCGTCAGTATACTTTATTGGAAAACTATTTTATCGAAAGCTGTGATACCTAAAAATATATTCATGTTATTATTATATAAATCAGTAATATTAGCTATCGATCCGTCGCACTCGGGATGAATAAATTGATTTTCCAATAATGGAGAAAATTAAATTAAAAACTAACTTTATTCCAAACATTTCCAACACTATAGACGACCGCGGCCGCTATTAGTCGAATATAAAAACTCCATCGTTTAATGCGCGAGACGGCCTTTGGAAATTATTTGTCGTGCAACCAAACAAGAAACCTTCAAGGAAATAATATTCTATATGTATACCTGCGCCATAATACACTGTGAGAATTGCCCACTTGGGATACTATACCGGCGGTATTGCGCGCACATATGTTTTTAGTATGTATACGGTCTACAAGTGCCTAAGACTCTACCCATAATACGAACTACGCATCGGTTCACTTGGCGTTTACTGGTCCCAAATATATACATATATAGTTTTTGAAAAAACTTGTTGCAATAAAATTTCCCGTATGCAACCACTATAATAATACATAAGGGATTATTCTTTTTCCTTGACATTCATAGTATTTTTCCTCTTGATTAAAAATACAGGCGAGAACATATAAGTATAGCGGTTTGAAAATGGAAAACTAAAATGCCGCGCACTATTGCACTTTTTTTCCACTTGAATCGTGCTCGTTTTTGTGATTGGCTCATTACTGATTCTATTTTTTCAACCATAATGGTTCGACGAAAATTCGGTTTTATGTGATTGCGGTTTGAAGTTAAATCATGCGTGATATAATCTGACTGCATGTAAAATTAACAACAAAAAAACATATAATATATATTTATAAAACACAGAGAAAGAGAGAATACATTTTGTGCTGTGTGATTGTCATTAAAAATTAAACATTGTGTTCCTCTTTTTGATTACCAGCTAATCATAGACAATTTATCATGAAGTCAGTCATTTAAATTCTCGCTCTTCATAAATTAATATTTTTTTGCGTCACTATTTACTAATTTACTATGTACGTTGATATTAAAATATAGAAATATTGTACGAAAAAATACAAATTTATTATAAAATATATAAAATTAAAAAAATTAAAAAAACAATAATTTTATGGCTTACAAACTAATTGATATTAAAAACTATGTGAACATTTTAAAGACTATTTAAAAAATTGTAATATATAAACCAAATAAAATATATACCTATAATATTAAAAAAATATATACAGTTGCTGTGGTAATCGAATTTGTTTAATTAAACTTTTACTAAAATAATTTAATACATATAAAATAATACATTTATATGACATTTCTTGTGTCGGAAGACATATCGAAATATTATGGTAAAAAATAACGTTTCGTAAGATATGCTTTGTTTTAAAGCTCTCATTAGTAATTTCCGATTTTATGTTTTGCAACAACACACTGTTGTCAGTTGTGACGATAAGACCGAATAAGTAATGGGTGTAATTAATCTTTACAAAAGGAAAATCACTTGGTGCACAGCAAATAGATAAACACGGATTAATGAAATGTATCGTGAAAGCAACAATTGATGATATATGTACAAGTTTGTACGTGCAAAGAAAATCAAACCCGGGTTGCGTTCAAATCGCTCATTATAGGTTCTACTTTGTAAACTCGAGGCGATAAAATATTCATGAAATTTCCGGAACAAACGGGTGCTCGATAAAACGTACCAGTGTTTTATATCTTGCTTAAGACTGCTGTTCGTGTTGAAGATGTCTCCGTGAAAACTTTCTCTGCCCTGAAAGTGTACACGCTGCTTCTTAAAGTTTAAGGTCCTTACAGCATAACGAGCAAACATGTGAAACTCGACCGCCCCCAAGGCTTAGTCTATATAAGATATAGACGTTCGTTAAAATTCACGGCATGAATAGTTTTAAGCTCTATAACAAGTATATATATTATATATATATATATATATCAGTATAAAAAAACTATGGTGGCTCAACGCTAAGTTATGGCATTTAAACAAAAAAATATTGTGCGTACCACGCTATTTTGTATTATCCTATGATAGGGATATTTAGGTACCGACGCATTACAGGAATTTATTTTCACATAATATAATACCCATATGTATGCATCGAAAACTCGTAGAGATTAAAAATAAAATGTAATATAAATTCACACGCATGTGCGATTAACTGCGTAATATTTGAATGAAATAAAATACGACTAACCTTTTTTTCCTTTTTATTTAAAAAAAAACCCGTTTTAACAATTGCTTTAAAAATTTAACGAGCAAACGAACACACGAAAACAATATTAAAAATGTTTAACCCAAAGGTAGAAATAATGTTGCCAAGTCAAGCCGCAAGGTAGCTATGTAAATATATATTAAATATTTGCATTTTAAATGAATAATATTATGGTACAACACAGGACGCGGTTATTTTGGCATAGCGCAACCGAAAATATACCTTCAAAATGCATACATATTTTATCTTTAAAATTATTACAAACTGTCCGTTTACACGTAGTTGTGTGTATAATTCAAATATAATATCATACATACAATATCACACACAACATATTATATATGTATAAATTAAATACGACAGTCCACATTTAGAAAAAAGTCGATTTCCAAGACACACGATGAGAAATTTATATCAGTTTTAGAATTCATATTGCATTTCTATAGAAAGACTTAGCAAGATTATTATAAAATTATAAATATATTTAATACAATATTCTTTTACATTGTTGCGTTTCAAATTTCAACAATACATTAAGAACATAAGTTCGATATAAGCAAATTAGAAAACTTATAATAAAATATGATAATATGACGTATAGTCCCCATTTTACTTTTTTAAGATTAACTTTTTATTTAATTTTCTTAAAAATTATGTTTATTAATTATTTATATTTTATTCGCTCAAAGATTTTACTCAAACGTAATAAAACACACAAATTAACATATTATTAGGTTATTAAAAAAAAAATGTATTCAGGAGTTTAAGTACATAATATTATTTGAGTACCTATATAAGTAATAAAAAATTGGACATAATTACCCATGTCTTGCAAAAATAAAATTATAACTGTAAACAATAAACTTTATAAAAAGTTTATAGAGTTGAGTTTTGACGAATTCACATATTTGAGAAATTCAGACAAGAACTTATAATTGGAAGAGTTTTCAAAATTAATTTTTCCCTTTGGCAAATGACAGCTTATTTGATCGTTATTGTTGAAACGTTTGGACAAATACAAGTGTCTGGTTTTGGCACAGAACACCGAGCTCTCCAATTCAAAAAGTTAATTACAGCACTCTACTGATTTTATTTTTTCTAACAACTTTTTATTTTCTACTGTTTCCTCTTGTTTTAATTATCTGACTCATTTAAATTGTGTTGGCATCTTTTGCTTATACTCGGCACATTGTTAATGGATCTAAATTACACTATATTATATTATACCACAGCTGTGTTAAAAAAAAATTGGCGCAACACTCGGCGATAAATCTAGTACCAATAAAATTGTTATTGTGATTTATTTAACACCAGTTAACAATAATAATGTTGCTAATTTACATATAATTGACTATAATTAAACCAACAAATGACAGTAGTATAAATTAATGCAATGTTTCCTGAAGCAGGCGATTGGAATGTACCTTAGTCACATTTACTTACATTGTGATTCAGATAAGAAATGTACGCCGGCCACACTTTATTTAAGTGTGAGTTATGATCAAAAGTCACGTGTCTGCTTAAGGACTAAATGGTTGAAAATTATCCATAAAAATAAAATTATAATTAATAATATCATAATATGAATTATTGCAATTAAATATATTATTTAACTGGCAAACATTATTTTCTAAAAAAGTAAATATACACATATAAAATAACACATTCGCTAAGATAATTTTAATTAAAACTAGTTTATGTCACCAACATAACTACGCTGAGATGAATCGATAAATGGTTACTCAATTTTCGGATAAATGATTGCTTATTTATATTATGAAAACGCGTAGATAAAAGTTTTATGGGGTTTGTTTTTTCTCAAGTCTCGAAAGTTTTAAAAGAAAATATTTTTATTTTTACAACAATTAACCAAAGAGATTTTTTCGCTGGAATTAGTTTTGCGTATACGGTATAGACAGAGCGGAGAACAGTTTTTTAAATTATTATTCGTATAAAATAGTACGGGAACGATTATAATAAACCGACCTAAAAGAGTTTAATATTTTTTGTGGGGTAAATTTCAGCACTTGAACGAATACTTGGCAAACCTTTATAGCTACCGAGTTTCCGCAAAATTAACGGTACTCGCTTAACGACACATACACAAAACAAATTAAATGAGAAAAATCTCTATTAATTAGTTTCCGGTTTAGTAAAATATACTATATAATATTATATTAATATCATAATGTCATATAGTATACTATATGCAACGGATGCTCAGGGAAGGTTTTTCCGAGAATATAATCTTATTACTTTCTTTGCTTTTTGAAACCTAAAACGACAAAAAAAAAAACCATATAGGCATATATATTTACCTGTATTTGAACTTGTCAATAGCAACGGACATGTGTCGCGGTTGTTGGGGGCAACTGTAAATGTTCTTGTCATTCTCCGGTATTAAATCGACGTCGTGAAAGAAGAAACAGTCGAATTCACGCAGTTTTAACGCTTCCACGAATCCCACATTCATCAGCATTGCTCGGTTGAATAATCCGTCACCTGCAATAAAAATAATTTAAATAAATCTCGATGAATTCAAAATACCAATTTTTTGTTAGACAACGACCTATATTATGTTTGGTCCCAGGTAAATAGGGCTTAAGTTAAGAATGTTTTTTTGTTGATCTTTCCACCTGAAAGTTAAAACGGTGACAACCAAAAAGGTAAACACCATTACCGTTTTCCAAATAATACAATCTGTCTGCGAGTCCGTTGTGTGCGCTGATGGTGGTTTTGCATTGCTGCCGTATGCGCTATAGTGTGTTATTATTGTGGTTAAGGGTTTATTTAAACATTTCGCTATTTTATTTCTTTACTATATTATATAACCACGAGACGTGTTGCTTAAGTTTTTCCTAAACAACCTGTCTATTTAAAGGGTTATTTTAGGTGAAAGCAAAAATATGAGTCTTTTCGTACAAAATAAATGCCGAAATTTAGAATTATCTCGCTTATCAATCACTAACCGTTTACCACAAAAGCACAGATTATATGAAAATATCACATAATCTGTGACAAAAGAATATTTTATCAATAAACCTGTTTCTCGCTGTATATTAACGTAAATTTGTCCAACTGTCAAATGTCATGAAAAAACCATTGTGCCTTTTTGATCCTTGCCATTTTCATTTTTAAGCAATGTTTTAGGAATTGTAGTATTCTGACTAGGTTAAACAAGCAATATTAATAACAATGAGCAGTATGATTTTGCATCTGGGATGATACCTTATAAACCACAGAAATGTTTTATTGCGTTTAGAATTAGTACAAATCTATCTAGAAATAAAAAACTACCAGTTTGATACGACTATACATAAATACAATTTTACTGCCAAGTTGGGAATTTTAGATTTGAAAAAAGAATATTAATCAAATCATTTTGTCGTTATTGTATTCAAACAAAAATATGAGTTTTATTGAGAAGTCATAATTTTCGGTATTAATAGTAAAACTGATCTAGCCTGTTTATTCAAACCATTTACTAATCAAACAACTATACTACACGATTGATTGTTTCTTATAGTTTTTTATACATGATTGTGTACTTACCAAATTGTTCAATAATAAATATGGTATAATCTAATTGCTGTTTTGTTAGAAACGGGTGAATGTTTAGCAAAAATGTGCATAAGTTTGACAAGCGATCTCTGTAAGGTACAATGATGGCGATTTTGTACCGGGCTTCACAGTCTGTGGGTGCTTTATGACCACCGCCGTTAAGTCTTAACCACGATAACTGTTCTGCGACTTCTTTAAGAGTTTCGTGTGTTGGCAGGACTAATGGCACTGTTCCATCTAAAACACATATCATATTTCTATTAAATACCTACATAATCCATATAACTCACATACAATTTGACTAAAGTAATTCGATGTTAATTTCATTTACTATCATATTCTAAACATTTTTCTAAACATATTTGGAACAGGTATCGTAACTTAGTGTTAAATTAAACATTGATTATTTAAGTATTTAACTGTTGGAAAGTGGGAAGTTTGCATAATATCTAGTAGGTAGGTAAGTCGTAAATCATTACTTACAAACTCTCAGAAGGTTGTCAAATTGCTATTTAATGTTTAAACTTCAATAATAAGCAGTTTCATTAAAAATAAATTTAACGCAGCTCCTATTCTAACGGTGTTGATCTCTTCCTAGAAGGTTATATAAACCTTCATTATTTAATATTTAAGAAACCTTTATATACATGTAGATGAATCGTCCGGTATACTTAAATGACGCGATAATGAACATTTTTGGAACAAAATATTAATTTTCTCTGTGTAATACTACGAAGTCACACATGTAAGGAAAAAAATAATTTAACGGCTGAAACTTGAAAAATGAAGTTCTTTGGACATTGTTATCAAACATCATAAAATACATAATAATATGTTGAAAAAGAATCAAAAAGTATACTCGGAATGGTATATTTTATGCAAATAAAATTAATTTGATTATTAATAATTTAAAATGTTGATTCGTTTGAATACATTATCGTTTTTTTTTTAATTTAAACAGCCCTCGAAGGATCTGCCATTTCCGAGTACAATATATTAATATAATAAGTATATATAACCATGGATATGTCGGGTTGATACTTTTCACTGTTATACATAAAGCAAAAATACAAGAAAAAATATATTTTTTTAAAATTTTTTTTTTTAACATTTATTATTAAAATACACGATCTGTAATTATTATTTTACAATAAGCGTATGTGATGGAGGAGACATGGCTTGAGGCAGGAGAGAAGAAGCCACCCATTGGAGGCACTTAAGGGCAGGAGTTTATTTTAAATGTGCTATTGTGAGATAATGAGATTGAATACAAAATCAAGGGGAAGTAAAGGTATATACATATTTTAATTTAGTAGGTCACGACACCAGGTACGTTTAAGTCGCCTTCTGGGGTCACCAGGAATTGCGTTGGTGGATAGTTCGGAAATCAAGGGATTACGATGGCTGAGGAATTTGGAGTGTGTGCGTTTGGAGAAAGTTTTTGCAACGTTTTGGACTGTTGAAATGGCTAGATCTCTATGTAGAGTGTCGTTAGCAGAATAGTAAGGAGCTTTGGTTGTTTGGCGTAGACATTTTGATTGGAAGACTTGTATTTTATTTAGGTTGGACGGTTTGGCTGCACCGCACAGTTGGATACCGTATGTCCAGATCGGTTTGAGTAGGAGTTTATATAGTAGGAGCTTGTTTTTTAGGTTGAGATGTTGTGTCGTGAGGAGATACCGTAATTGGCGAGAGCGGTTATTTAAGGCAAGTCTTTTGTTATGGGTATGGGTTGCCCAAGTTAGCCTGCGGTCTGGATGTAGACCTAGGTATCGGACATTTTGGGCGGTTGGGAGAGGTACATTGTTGAGGTAGATGGGAGGGCAGACTTTTTGCTTTAGTGTGAATGTACAATGAATGGATTTTGTTTCGTTGATTTTAATCCCCCAGTCTTTGTACCATGTTGAAAGGAGATTGAGATGATTTTGTACGAGGTTTGAAGCTATTTCAGGGTCGGAATGGATGGCTAGAAGCGCCTTGTCATCGGCAAAGTCACCAGTCGTAGTGTTAGGGGTGGTAGGTTGATCTGAGGTGAATAAATTGAAAAGTAGAGGCGCAGATACCGATCCTTGAGGTACTTGGTGATACTTCGGATAAGGAGAAGCCAGATCGAACGGCGAAATGTCTGTTTTCTAGATAAGATTTAAACAAAAGAAAATAGTATGGTGGAAGAATAGATTTGAGTTTGAAGAGTAGGCCATTATGTCATACTCTGTCAAATGCCTGAGACACGTCAAGGAAGGCAGCTGTGCAAATAAGCTTTTTTCCAAGAGTATAGGATATAGAGTCGGGGGGTTTGCCAGGCTTGGGGATCATAATGATGATTGAGAATTTCCATAAAGCAGGGAAGTATGCCAGTCTAAGTATAGAGTTATAGATGTGAGTTAAGAGAAGTAAAGTTTTTTTGGGAAGTTGTTTAGCTACCTCAGCTGTGATTAGGTCATATCCCGGGCTTTTGTGATGAGGAGAGTTCCTTATCGCATATTCAACATCGCTAGATCGAACATGTTTAGGTGGGAGAGTCATGGGTAGAGGGTAGGAGAGAGAGTGGTTTACTTTAAGAAAAAAATATGATAATATTAACTATAGACATGGAAAACAGTAAGGTTAACTTCTAAGAATACAGGATGTACTAAAATATTATTTATATATTATTAACACTGAGGATTTTTATAAACTATAGAATAAGACTGGCGTATTGTACTAGTATCCTACCCGATTATATCTAGAGGTTGGGTCCATTTAAAAACTAACTAAAATTAAATACGTTCATTCAAAAGCCGTGCTGAGTAATATAATATTAATTATTAACACAACCGATAGTATCTTAACCGAGTATGAATTTGGCTAGAGTGAACCACACCGTTATGAATGTAGATTAAAGCTGTAAAGTAGAAACAATAGAACGCGATTAACTTTGTTGGCCGTTACGCATAATACGAATTAATTCAAAACGTTTATCGAAGTGGAATATAATTTATACAGGCTGACGCACAATTTGCACAAAATTCATCGAAGAGATATTATTGGGTGGATAAACGTGAAATCAACTTGAAACGAACCTAAAGACTATTTCAGTTTAGATCATTCAACAAAGTTTAATAATAATATGCAATTCATTAATCTTGAATACTTCTTGAAAACCCAATAATATATATATTTTTATATTGTAACCGTATTGGTTTTATAAAAAAAAAAAACATTTGATTAAATAAATTAGTGTTTTATTTTATTGATATTTTCAATTGAAAATATATTTTTTTTTATATTACAAATGAAAACTATACCCCTTAATATACTATCGTAGACCATTTTATCGTGGTCCATATTTTCTCCTCAGTTATGTTTAATGGCAATAGTATTAAATTATTATTTATTACAAGTTAATGAATTATTAGGGTGTGAATGAGTATAAAAAATGTAATCCTTATTTATTGTATGTATGAACTTCCGTTGTACCAAACGTGCACGGGAAGCTTACTCCCGCACGAAAGCACATACCAACGATATTATAATTTATGTATCTAGCTTACAAAGCCAAATGTAAACACTCGCTTCTAAAATTAGTTTTTAATATATTTTTCAAGTGTTTTAAAGTTATAAATAATACATGTTATTATTATTATCATAATGTAAACATATAAAATCCTCAAAAACGTACTGGACTGGTTTATAATATATATACACCAGTCAGTGTGAATAAGCATTTTTTAATCTATGAAAAATGTTTATTTTAAAGATAGCAAATTGCTGCCGAACTTACGTACAAAAATTAAAATGCTTACAAAGACCAAAGAATGTACGAGACAATGGTTTTTTTGGCTATGAAACTGAATACAAGCTGACTTTACTTTATACTCAATAATATACTCTATTCATATAGTTTAAAAAAATTGTCATTTTTATAGTATGTTTTATAGTTTTGTCCTATTAAAAAAAAAATAAAGTCTGGAGGAATTAGTGGCTCGCTTGTCTTCCAATAAACGCGTATGCATAGTTTAGTTGATTTGGACCACCCCAACAAAACAAGTAGCAAACGGCGTGTTTAAGCTTTTAGTTAATTACGAGGCAATCCGCAGATGGCCACAAATCGTTATTGACTATTCAATTAAATTTGCCGTCTTAGTGCAATACGAACAAACTTGTACCATTAAACAGTACACAACAAAATACCATACCTGCACATTATGTAGGTACGTAAGACTAACGATTTGTATTGTATACGCCCATTATTGTTTTCTGCGCGCAAAGTTCTACATAACCACATAAGTGATCAAATTAGTACCAAATATTTTGAAATATTGAAATTTAAAACTTTCTAAAACGTATTAAGGTACTTAAAAAGAAATGTTTTCAATTTATTTTGAAAAGTTCAGTAAGAACACCCTAAAATTTGACATAATCTTTCAATTTTAATACAACTTTACTATGTGTAATTAAAAAAAAACTTTCTTTATTTCCCAATTTAGAGCAGGTTTTCTGGTATTAAGGTGTAAAAATTAGACTGAATGTGTACTTAAAATAAATTTAAAAATGTGTACGTCCCAACCTCACGGCTTGCGCCACCGATGTATCCATCACTGCCCCAATTGTTTATTGCTAATCGACACGACACTAAAATATATAATGAAATCAGATTAGAAGGTGCGAGAATGTTGAAGGCAAACAGTGTTATTACAACCGAAGTAATCGCTAAAGACAATTAATATAACGCAATAACGACCAGAGGACCAAGCTTAACGTTCGGTGAATAGTTTTTGCAAATTAATGGACTAATATTGGTTTAATTAACCCCTTAAACTTTCTGTCGTTTCCAAACCAATAAAACCGAACGAATTTTGTATTGCCATGGTTATTGCGGAACTGATCGTTTAGCATAGAATTTATTATAAGCCATTCGGTAGAGTGAGGTAGGAAACGCGGCAAGTAAGTCACGTATTCCGGCAATCAAAATGCCTGTGTGATTATTTAAATGATAAAGCGTTGTAATTTTATACTTGAGCAGTTATTGTTTTTAACCGATATCAGCCATTGTTTTAAATTTTAGCTCTAGAACAATCGCATCGTCCACTGGTGTACACGGTGATCATTCGAAAACTTGGTACGAAATATTGTTTGTTTATGTGAGTATTGCTTTTTTTAACGTACAAACTGCTTTTGAATTTAATTATTTTGGTCTTTTACCTAAACGAGTAATTTTTAATGGAAATTGTTCAATGCTACCATTTATAATGCAT